GGGGGGGGGGATGGAGGGAGAGGAATAAGCTTAATCGCTCGGATTTAATTAACGGATGAGGCTTTTGAGTTTAATTAGCGGTCCTGCGGGACCAATGTCGCTCCGTTTAAAGATGCGAATGCCATCGCGCGGGACTTGTACGTCAACGTAATTATACGATGGCCAATGGTCGTTCTGTAGCGTCGCTCTTTATTCTACTCTCTCGGATCGCGTATACGTACTTGCGTGAGCGTTTTATGCGTGCGTGTACGCGCGGCGAACCTCGGCGAGGCGTTACGTTTTTATGGCCGAGCGATTTAAATTTTCAGTTTGAGAAGTCAATCTCTCTGCCCTCATTGGGAATACGTCAGAGACAATTATCTCACTTGAAAAATGAAACTGTTTGTTTATTCATTATACACGTACGTCGACAAATTTAAAAATATGAGCACAATAAGCAATTCGACCCGTGTAGTTTGAGGCGGAAAGGAATTTTTGTTTGGATGCGATCTAACAGGAGAAGTCGTGTTGTGTGTCATTGATTTTAATTTCCGATGTAGTTTTTCGATTACAATCTTCAGATTATTTTTTCAATATTAATTTACACATTTGAGATAATTACAACAATTAAGAATGTGCAGGATTTTATATGTCAGGGACATTACAATACTTTTTGCTGTGACTGGTTACAAAGAGAGATAATTGAGAAAGATTACGTATTACGTTTAAACGCTATTTAACTTTGGTCTGCATATGACATCAAAACGATATTCCTCGTACAACGGAAGTAGATAATTGTTTTCCGGTGCTTGAGCAACATCACTGAAATCATCAATGAAATATCCATTAATCATTTTATGTACAATTGAGGAAAAGAAAAATAAGCCTATTCGAAACGATAAATATCTAAGAAATGTCACATGTAAAGATAAATAAATCTTTTTTTTGACCTTTGTACAAGTTCTGTAAAAGACGAAGCTGAACAAATAGGATTTTCAAGAAAATTCTGAAAATCACATGAAGAAATGAGATAACTGCCGACAACTAATTGATTTTGTATGATTATATTCAAGAAGGAAATAGAGTATTAAATCAACGACAGAATAATGTATTTAATTTTCTAGGCAAAAATAAGTTTTTATAGATTATTAATTTTTGGAATTTTGTGTCTGTTTTATATTGAAAAAAATATAACAGATTAAGTTATGGTAAATAATACGATTTTTTCTGCTAGATCGCGTGCGAACAAGTAAATTATTAGAAATGCACCGCATAGTAATCATGCTATAATCATTGACTTTAGAATTCTAAAGTTGAATACCACTGCTCTCCGCATGATGTCCTTGACGTTTTAAAAAACTCAAAAAGTGACTGTTGGTGACCGTTTGTCGGCATCGGCATAGGCATTTACGTGAACGAATTGCATTCAGTCGCTACTCGGTAGCTCGCCAAAAATGTCATCACTTTTTCAATGATCGTTTTACAAGTTTCCGTAAATTAGAGGAGAGTATTCATTCGTCGCAGGGAGTTCCCAGCAAGACATTTGGACAAGACTATTGTCGCATTTTTTTTTCTTTTTTGATAGAGTTGTCTATTTAGCAATGTCACCGTATATCGTACATCGTACATCGTTCGAAGATATGTAAATGCTACCTGTATGGTAGGAGATCGGAGATTCTGATGGCGTTTACTTTGAATCATTTACTCACGATGAATGCAAAAATAATTTGCAGAAATAACGAATATATCTGAAATATTAATTAGTACATTGATAGGATAAGATCCGAGAAGGTTATCCTTCAATTTTTATGAATTTCAATGAAGATATCACAAATAATTTTAAAAGATATATAT